AATACTGTCGCCTCGTATTGTGTGGCGCTGACAGAGCCGTTCCTGCTTGCATTTGGGGTGGATGTTACTTCCGCTCAGTTTCACAAGTTGTCTCGTGTGTTGTTTCACAACTGGCCTGCTCATGTGCCGCCTGAGTCGTTCTGGTCATTGGACCAGGTGCTTTCATTTCTCTCCTCCTCGGTTTGTGGTGGGCCCCCTTCAGTTTGGAACTGTTTTGATAAGGTTCTTTTCTTGTTGGCATTGGCCTCTGGAGGTCGGGTCAGGAAGCTTCATGCTCTCCTCTGGTGCAGGGGCTTCTGCTCTTTCAGTCCAGGTGGTAGATTTGTCCGTTTGCAGCTGTCTCCTTCTTTTCTGGAGAAGAACGAGATGGCCACTTTCTGGATGGGTCCTTGGGTAGTTGGTGCTTTGTTGGTTTGGCTGGGGGTGCATGTGTTGTGTTCGGTTGCGGCTCTTCACCGTTATTTGCACACCGTGGACCTGCTTTGGGTTGACCCGGTTTCCCTTCTTCCCTGTTCCAGGGCTTGGGTCTCCTAGGTCGTCCTCAGGATTATTCGGCCTAGCCAGTGTGCGGTCTGTCCTTGTGCCCATGACGTTCACAAATTTGCTGCTTTAGCTGCTGTTTTTGGTAATATGTCTTGGGTTGACATTCAGGCATGAGGATTTTGGAGGTCGAATGTTCCTGGCCCTAGTTGGGCATGTGTCGCTTTGGGTCGCAGGTTGCAGCCAGTTGTCACAACTACAAGTTGAGAAGCAAGTGGCGGCGTCTTCCCGGGTAAGTCCCTCTTTTTTCTTTTTCTGTGGTTAGGTAGCTCCGTGGAGCTGGAGGTGCTCTCCACAGAAAACCATTGTTGAATGTAATGAAATGTCATTTTCTGGGCGAGTCCTGGAGGCTCCCCGGCATCCCTCCCTCTCCTCTGGTCGGCAGTTTTTTGCGTTTTTGATATTCAGCCTCAGAACTGAAGTTGGATAGCCTGCACGGAGGTCTGGAGCTCTCCCTTCCCCCTCCCAGGAAGAAGGGAGCTGCGCAGACAGGTGGCATGGCGGCAAGTGTGACGTTATGCATGTGTGCTTGTTTTCAGACTTTGGAAGTTCTGCTTAGTAGTTTGGTTTTCGGTAGCAATGTTTCATCAGTTGGGGTCTGTTTTGGGACGCCTACCTTTCTGGGTGCCTAACCCGGTAGATGGCAGACATAGAATGCATCCAACCACATTGGGGTTTCTACAGGCCATTGCTCCTCGTGCCTCTGTGAGAGGGCCAGGTTCTGGCTCGTGGTCCCTGGTAGGCTAGAACTCCATTCGAGTTGACTGATGCCACGGTCTAACACATACATATCAGCCTGGTATAGCTTTGTGGAGCCTCTGGGACTCGCCCAGAAAATGGCGTTTCATTACATTCAACGCTGTTTTTTTTTTCACCCCTGGCCTGTTCATGCCCCGTCTTAGCCTTCCTGGTCTTTAGACCAGGTTCCTTCTTTTCTTTCTTCTCCTCATTTTATTGTGGCCCCCTTCAGTTGGTGATTGTTTTTATAAGGCATTATATTTTTTAGCCTTGGCCTCTGGGGTTCGGGTTGGGGAGTTTCTTGCACTCCTTCGGTGCCAGGGGTTCTGTTCCTTTGGTCCTGGTGGTCGATTTGTTAGGTTACAGCCTTCTTCTTTTCTGGATGAGACGGCCAGTTTCCATAGGGCTTCGTTGGTGGTGGATGCTTGTTGGTTAGGCCAGGGGTGCATCTCGTATTATGTTCGGTGATGGCTTTACACCAATACCTGCGGGCCACTGGTTCTGTGACAGTGGACACTCTTTGGGTGGATCTGGTTTTCCCTTGGTTCCCTGTTCTAGGGCTCGTGTGTCTCAGGTTGTCTGCAGTGTCATAAAGTTCATCCAGCCTGTGGTCTACAGCCTCGTGCCCATGATGTATGGAAATGTGCGGCGCTCACCACGGTTTTTGGTAGCATGTCTTGGGTTGCCATTTGGGCTCGTGGGTTTTGGAGGTCAAACATGGTCCTGGTTGCCAGATATCTTGTGACCGTTCTGGGCCCTTTCCGCCCTTGTGTGACTCTGGGGCATCTGTAGGCATTGTCGGTTTCTTCTTTGGCTTCGCCTCCCTTCCCTTTCGTAAGTGTTGCCGCCTCCCGGGTAAGTCTCGGTTTTTCTTCTCTGTGGGTAGTTAGCTTCTAGGAGATGATGGCGCTCCCCCTAAAAAATCCAGCGTAGAATGTACCTCCAGAAAAGGGTGTTTCATTACATTCAGCAATGGATTTTTGAATGAGTTCTGAGATGACCTTGAAAATTTGCCATGATGCATCCATTCCATGTTCCCAATCAGCTCTCTCCAGGAGATGTTTTGTAGTTCTTCTCTCATTTCTTGAGTCTCCTCGATAATAATCTAAAAATTCATCATCTCTGACCTTTATGTGGGTATCTTAAAATATGGTGATCACATTCAGGGGTTAGTTTCCCCTCACCTGAATTTGATCAATCATACCTTCTTCCGATGTTAGCACAAGATCTAGAATGCTGTTACCTCGTGTGACTCTACCATATGCTATATGAGAAAGGAGTCCTGTACCAGGTCTAGAAATTGTTCTCCTTCTGCTTGTAATGTTAGATTTACCCAATCTATGGTCTCATGATTAAAGTCCCTCATTATTAGGGTTTAGGTTTCTAATGCTGCATTGATCACATTATGCAGATCAGCATCTTCCTCTGGTGCTGCTGTGTCAGCCCTGTAGCATACTCACACTTATCATTTTGCTACCATCTTGAGCTGGAATGTTGCACCATGCAGACTTTGAAGATCCCATGTTGTTCAGTTTCTCATTGTTGGTTGCATCCAGGTCCTCCTTCACATACAGAATTACCCCACCTGCTCTTGTTGTTCTGTCCTTTCTGAATGTGGGTGGTATCCTGGGAGATGGAATTCCCCTTCTATTATGTCCTCTCATCCCCATGTTTCACTTATGCCAATGATGTCGAGATTTTCAGCCTCAGACACGCACATAATGAGTCAAATTTATTTACTAGGCTTCAGGCATTTGTGTAGAAACAATTTAAATTCTGGACATTGTTCCTAGGGTGCTGAGAGATTGCTCCTGTATATATAGCACATTATTATTCTGTACATTGTCACTCTGGTTTTGAACCTGTTTGTCGTTTGAGATATATAGTTACTTCTGCCTGACTGGATGAAGGACTGACCTCCTCCAGCTACTATGTGAATCACCTGCTCTCTCCTGATTCATAGCTTTGCATTTTTGTATCATTCTGTGATTCTTAACTCCTTCAGTTTGCCTCTTAGCACCCTCATCATTATCTTCTAACACATTTCCTTACTAACACATTGCCTTCAGGCTTCCCGGAAATCTCAGAGGCCCCCCTCTTTCGAAATCCCCAAACCATTGTGCCGTGTCCTAATGCATGTCTACACTCAGTTGCTATGTGGAGTAATTAGGGATATCTGCAGGCTTTATGTATGGACCAATGACCTGTAGAAATTTGTCACTCTAAAGGCATTTTGTTTTGTAATGTCCTCTGACATCAGAGCTTGGAATTTATAAAAAATAAACTTTCGGTCACGGTACTTCACTAATATTCTCCACCTGGATTGCCAGTGTTGTCTGGGGTGGCTATCTTGTAAGTAATCATATATTTTTTGTGGCAGGTCCTAGTTGCGTGAATATGATGCTTCCTGGCTTGTTGGATGATTTATTTTCCAGTAGCTCCTGTTGTTACCACTCTGCAGCATATGTGATTACATCCTTTGTTTATTTTTATGGTAATTTTAGCCACCTATATGAACTTGCATAAGGAAGTGACTTGAGTGTAACAGCTCAGAACTCCGACTTTTTGAGTAAATGTACATGAAAACTTTCCATATGAGCAGGACACTGTTGCTCTCGTTCCCTTCCTACTGTTCCTGCTTTACCTCTGTGCTACATTCTTGATTGTGGAAGTTGTACTCGCTACATTAATCTTGTCTGGTAGAATGTGAGGTAGCTCGAGTTAGGGAACACTGTTTACCTGTGGGTACTGCCATCTAGTAGTGGTCTAGGGTAGTGACTGGCTGACCTCTCATGGTGTTTAAAAGAGAACCTGATAAATGCCTCCAAAGAGTATCTGATCAACCAGACTGTGATTCATATGTCAGGCTGTGAGCAGCTGCATCTAACAATCTCATTGATTAGAGACTGAGTTGCAGGGACACTTATCCTCGGAACCAATGCAAAGTAACCACAAGGCAAGGTGGCTATCTGGACCAACTAGTGCTTTGAGAAAGCTCTGCTTGTCAGTCTCTTTGATAAGTAATGCTTAGTAGGGATTTGGGTATATTTGAATGTACTTTCTAGAGGTCATAACTGGCTGGATCTATTGTTCTGCACTCTCCCTTTTCAGCAGTGTACCCCAACAAAGACATTTTAAAACAGTTCTCTTACTACAGTGCAGAATATTGACCTGCCTGGTTGTGCATAGTTCCTGTTCATGGGACCTGCAGGACCTTGCTGCTTTGTTGAGCAGGACACACTGTCCTACTCAGTAAGGAGCTTTTCATATATGCAACACTCAAAGCCTGATTTTTATTTTATGTGCATTTTGGTATAATAGAGTATAATGTGGCATTAAGAGTAGTTATGTGCACTAGAGTCTAACTTAATCTGTGTAATTATATTGTGTCTAAATTTAATTTATGGTATGTTTTTGTTACAAGGCTGCATTTGAACACTAGAATTTGTAAGACTTAACTCCCTAGTATGCTTTTACACCTCCCTCCCCATGTTCTTAACTCCACCTTCTTGTATTGGTGGCAAAGTAAGCATTATTATCTGTTTGACTTTTGCTTTTTTGTCTGTAGTTATTGAATGTACTGAACAGTTTGTTATTGGTGTTAAAACTTTTTCTAACTTAACTCCCTTTTAGTTTAATGAGAAGTAACAGTCTAAATCTTATTTTTGTTTACAAAATTATGCTAGAATAATGGCTACTCTGAGTGAAGATATTGTTTTCAGCTGGAGCAATATATAAAGTATCTTAAGCCTTGAACTAGGCTTTTTGGTTCGCCACGTCATGAAGAGTGAACGTCAGGAAGAGGAACGTAGACTGGAGGTTAGTTAGGATTCTATAAGTAGCACAGTTTGGTCTTGATATGTTTGTTAATGTGCATGAATTTTGCAGCATCTATTATTTAATTAATGTGACTATATAATATTAATATTTGCCATTATAACCACAGCTTCAGCCTGATTATTAAAATACTGTAAATAAAAACTTTAATTGATTAACCCCTAAGCTGTACAAAACTTCATATGTAGTGTGACCTTGAGCTCAGTTTTTTAAATTTTCTGAAACTCTTTCAAACGTTTTATGCATAATCTACTAGACAAATGCTCCAACTTTGTCTAAAGGATACCAGTGTAACTTGAAAAACAAGAAAATATAAAATAATTATACTTAATTATAATTAACTTAATATTATTATACTTAATATTAAAAACTTCAGATTTTGAAATCGGCTGCAAAAATATAAAATATCACCAATTGTTCATTTGGTGTTATTATGCCCTCAAAATAGCATATGATCTTCATTTTCATATATTTAGAATATAGGTTTTCAGTACAGTTTACTGTAAAAAAATTGTCAAAATGGCATTTGTAATATGCGCAAATTTAGACAACAAAAATTTATAACTAAACGTTTAGAGTTTATGAAAAATCAGTTCTATAGGAATTGTAGAACAGACAGCTGTGCACACTACAGTATATGTAAAAATGGTGAGAATCAGTCAGAAAATAGATTTTGGATACTGAAGTAAGTTGAAATTCTAGTAATAGATATAATTGAAGTTGAAGTTATCGACAATGAATAAGACAGTTCTAATTCATGAATTTACTTGTATGTTTTAATAAACGTTGTTTGGCATTCGTACTTGAATATGTAAAAGTTGTAGGTCAATGTGTGTTGAAATGAAGGCAAGAAAAAGTACCCCCCCCCCCCCCAAAAAAAAAATAGGGATAATTATAATAATTGTAATGATTTAGGGGATATATTTAGGGTATACTTTATATAAGTAAAAAAACAAACTAATCTGGTCCCTAATCATCAAAAACACCTAAAGAAACAAGAAAAATAGTTTGAAATCTGTGAAAAAATCAGTCAAAATAAATTCAAAATCCCAGGTTCTGAGAGTTGTTACTGGCTTATTTGTTGACCAATTTAATTCTGTCTTCACATAGTTAAGGATTTAAGCCTTCACTCTCCGGGATGTAAAGGTTATAACAAATTCAAATAATAAACAAAGGAGGAAAAAATCTAAAAACCTAAAAAAACAAAATTTCCCCTAAAAAAATATTTTCTTGGGGAGCTCCGTTGGCTCCCTGGAGGTATCCAGGCTGAATGGATATGTATAACTTTCTGGTCATTTCACGCGGCCTGTGGTGGCGTTGGGTGGCTTCTCCCTCGGGGGGTTCGGGGCTCGCAGGGCAAGCCTCCTCCCCTGTGCTGTCAAGTCATCTCGGAGTGGGTTCGCTTGGGCGTGGTCGAAACGACTTCGTCCCTTTGGTGGGTTTCCCGCCTGTTCCCAGTCCCGAAACGGGACTGCGTGGACCTCCTGTTCATTCTGTACTTTTCCCGTCTGAATCTGTGGGTTTTTTTTGCCCTCCTTCAGGATGACAACTCTGTCCCAGGTTCGTCTTCTCTCGGAGCCAGGCGCTTGGATGGTGTCCCTGGACCTCACGGATGTGTATTGGCACGTCCCGGTTCATCCGGGGTTAAGGGACTGGCTCGGTTTTGTTGTGGGGCATCAAGCTTACCAGGCTTTCGTTACCTTTCCTTTGGCTTGAATCTGGCGCCTCTGGTGTTTACTCGCCTTACTCGGGTCATGGTGGCCTGGCTGCGTCTTTTAGGTGTGCGGGTTCTGGCCTTCCTCGTTATGGTGTGCGGGTTCTGGCCTGGTTTGGGTTCCCAGTTGTCCGCGTGTCTGCTCGCCAGGGATTTGGTTCTTTCCCAGCTCGCCGGGTTCAGGGTTCCTGGTGAACTTGAGGAAGTCACATCTGGTTCCCTCTCAGGTTCGGTCTTGGCTAGGTGTTCAATGTGACGCTTGTACCGCTTCCTTGTCTCTTCCTCCGGCGGCTCTGCTTCGCCTGCGTTACCACCTGTGTCTGTTCCCAAGGGGTCCCGGGTCACGCGGCAGTTGCTAGAGAGTGTGTGCGGGAGCCTGAACTTTGCCATGTTGGTCTACCCACTGGGTCGGGTGTGGCTTCGTCGGCTGTTATGGTTCCTTTGGGGCCGTCCCTTCCACCTCTCTTGCAATCGCTGGATTTGTCCCCCCAGGGGCTTTACGTCGGCTGCTGTGTCGCCGGCTTCCTCTCTGGGTTTTTCAAGGTTCAGTGCCTTGGCGTCTGACAGAGCCCTCACTAGATGTGTTCACAGACGCGTCGTCTCTTGGCTGGGGCTTTGTGACCAGTGCTCACCAGGCCGGCCAGGGGCGGTGGTGTCCGTCTCTCCGTCTGGCCCACAGCACGGTGCGGGAGTTCTCGGCGGTTTGGTTGTCGCTCCGGAGGGTTCGGGTCGCTCGCGGATCGATGATCAGGCTCCATTCAGACTGCACCCCGGTGGTTCATTGCCTGAACTAGGGGGGTTCGATGTGGTCCTTCGCTCTTTGGGGCTGGTCACTTCGGGTGACTCATCTGCTGAGTTCTCGGGGTTTGGCTCTCCTGGCAGTTCACATTCGGGTAGTGTCCAATGTCTTGGCGGATGGCCTGTCACGGTTCATTCCCCTGTCCACGGAATGGACAGTCGACGCCAGCTCCTTCAGTTGGCTCTGTCGGACATTCGGTCCTCCGGACGTGGATCTTTTTGCGTCGGCGTGGTCGAGGCATCTTCTGGTTTGTGACACCCTGCGAGGCCTTCGGGGTCAATGCCTTTCAGTTGGATTGGGCGTGCTGGGGTTACCTATACCTCTTCCCTCCAGTTCAGCTGTTACTCCAGGTCCTGGCTTGCTTGGAAACTTACAGGGGAGAGTTGTCCTGGCTCCTTGGTGGCCGGCCCAGCCTTGGTTTTAGGCGCTGCTTGCTCGGTGTCCAAACCCGAGGGTCTTCCAGCGGCTCTGCCTCTTTCAGCAGATCGGGCCAGTCTGGTACGAGGCTGGTTCGGTCTTCTCCTCAAGTCTTCGCGTTTGGAGTTTTTGACTCGAGTTTATCATCACTTGTATGGTGCGCAGGTGGCTTCATTGTTGGTCTCCCACCTGCATGCTTCGTCTCGGCGGCAGTACGAAGTTTCCTGGCAGTCCTTTCATTTTTTCCTATCGCTGTGTAGGTGTTCTTTGGTCTCTGATAGGGTTGCCTTGTCCTTTCTTTCTTGGTTGTTCCAGGATCGTCATCTTATACCGAATACTGACGCCTCATATCGTGCAACGTTGGCAGAGCCGCTTCATCTTGCTTTCGGTGTTGATGTTACTTCTGTTCCATTCCACAAGCTATCTTGTGGGTTGCTTCATCTCCGGCCTGCTCATGCGCCGCATGAGCTGTCCTGGCCCTTCTTGGACTGGGTGCTCGCGTTTCTCTCTTCTCCTCTGTTTGTTATGGCCCCTTCCATTTTGGATTGTTTTTCCAAGGCTCTTTTTCCTGTTGGCATTGGCCTCTGGGGGTCGGGTGGGGAAGCTTCATGCTCTCCTCCGGCGCAGGGGTTTCTGCTCTTTTGGTCCTGGGGGGCGTTTTGTTCGCCTGCAACCGTCTCCTTCTTTTCTGGTAAAGAATGAGGTGGCTGCATTCCGGAGGGGGCCTTGGGTCATTGATGCTTGGCTGGTCAGGCCGGGGGGGGCATCATGTGTTGTGTCCGATTGCGGCTCTCTGCCGTTATTTGCATGCCACGGCTTTGGTGGCCGGGGATGCTCTTTGGGTTCACCCAAAGAACAGGGAAGAAGGTTTCCCTTCTTCCCTGTTCCCGGGCTCGGGTCTCTCAGGTCGTCTGCAGGGTTATTAAGTCTAGCCAGCCTGCGGTCTATTCCCGGGCCCACGACGTTCGTAAATTTGCTGCCTTGGTTGCCGTCTTTGGCAACATGTCCTGGGTTGACATTCGGGCCCAGGCTTTTTGGAGGTTGAACAGGGTCCTGGCAGCTTGCTACCTGGTGAATGCCCCTGGGCCTAGTAGGGCCTGCGTTGCATTGGGTCAGCGGTTGCAGCTAGTTGTCTCTACTTCGCGATGAGGAGTGAAGACGGACCGTCTCCCGGGTAAGTCCCTTATTTTCCTTCTCTTTAGGTAGTTAGCTCCGGGGAGCTGACAGGGCTCCCACCAGAAAACCAGCATTGAATGTAATGAAACACCATTTTCTGGGTGAGTCCCGGAGGCTCCCCGGCATCCCTCTCTCCCTCCGGTCGGCGGTGTTTTTCATGTGTTTTGACATCCAGCCTAAGAACTAGTGTTGGGTCGCTAGTGCGAGAGGTCTGGGGCTTCCCCTTCCCCCTCCCGGGAAGGAGGGGTTGCACAGACGGTGGCGCGGCAATATGATGACGTCATGCTTGTTTGCTAATTTTTGTTTGGGGAGTTCTGTCCACTTGTAAGGCTTTCAGTAGCGATAGTTTTACTAGAATAGGGGTTTGTTTTGGTGCATACCTTTCTGGGTGTCTGTCCTGGTCGATGGCAGACATAGAATGCTCCCAACCACAGGGGGATTTCTATAGGCCATTACTCCTCGTGCCTCTTCTGAAGGGGCCAGGTTCTGGCTCGTGGTCCCTGGTAGACAAAAACTCCAAGCACTTGACTGATGCCAGAAAGTTATACATATCCATTCAGCCTGGATAGCTCCGGGGAGCCTTTGGGACTCACCCAAAAAATGGTATTTCATTACATTCAACCCTGGTTTTTTGGACATTGTTGCAAGTAACTGATAATAACTTTGGGCAGTGTATTTATATGATAATATAACAAAATAGAGTATAATAACATACATAATAACACATAAGAAGTATTACTCACAAATGCTATAAAGGCACCAGCTGCCATTATATCCACTTTGTGGACACTTTACCATTCTTCTTCATTATGCGTCAGACAGGTGCTTGCATTTCTTTTTTTTTATTGCATTATCCATCAGTTCCAGTTAATATGA